CAACTCATTTTTTTTTTTCACATTATTCTTTTCTCTTCTTTTTCTTTCTACTGAAGTTACTATTTCATCTATTGTGGAGCTCTCATTTATGCATTCACTCATGCTACCTTTGAAAGAGGATCTGGTTATTAGGCTGGCTTCTAAATATCTCCGAAAATTAATTGCCTTTTCTCAAAGGCCGATTCGTCTATATCCATCGATCAAAGTCGGCATTGTTTTCTCTGGCGGCGGCTTCGGGAGATTCTGAAAGAGAAAAGGAGAGGAGGAAAAATTTGGATAAGCAAATCTACACTTTTTTTCATCTCGAGGCAACTATCGCATCCACTGCATCATTGATTATTTTTTTTTTTACTGCAAGTGTATGATATTGTTCGGTTCTTTCGGCTCTTATGCTAATAGATAAATGGAGATCCGGGAGGAAGATATACATTAATGTATGTGCCACACCTAATAAGGAGGATGAGGCTCGAAGAAAATCTGCATGCAGGACTGCAACTGCAAGATTAATAATGATGTTTGAAATGTGTGGGGAGTCGCTTGGATGCAGGAGGTATTGATGTGAATAGGCAAATGATATTGAAAATCGGTGGAGCGTGGCGATTTCTGGGAACGTGGGAATGACAAGGATTTTTCGAAAAATATGGAGGTGAATAATGGGGAAAGGGTTGGAAAATGCGAGGGTGGATTTTCCTGTGTCATTTCCGATCTATCTCATGGATGAGTGGAAATATTTTTTTCTTGGGGCTTCGTGGGAGTATGTGCTAGAATATTTGAAACAAAAATTCATTTATTAAAGGACTGCTTTTGGTTTTTATTTCAGATGTTGAGGAATTATTTTATATTGAAAAATTTTGATAGGAAAAATGTATAAAAATTTATTTGTTGGATTGGTGCCGTTTCAAATGTATTTTAATTGTCAAAACAAATAATTTTTTTGGTAAATTTAATAACTGAGAAAAAAGTTCTTCGATTTTTGAATTTTCAATCAAATTTACCAAAAATTCATTTATTACTCGGATTTCTTTTGGTTTTTATTTCAGATGTTGAGGAATTATTTTATATTGCAAAATTCTGAAAGAGAGAAAACTCTTGAGTTTTTGTTTTGTTAAAAATTTATTTATTGTATTATTACCATTTGTTTGAGTTTCAAATGCATTTTAATCGTTAAACCAAATAATTTTTATGGTAAATTAAAAAACTGACAAAAAAGTTCTTCAATTTTCGAATTTTAAATAAACTTTACCACTCGCACTTGTTATCAATTGAATAATCCCCCCGGAGATTATTTATTCACGACATAATCTCCATAAAATGAAAACCATTTGAGGTAAATATTAAACTGAAATAATGATTTGTTTGAGAGGAAATGACGGCTAATAGCTCTACCTAAACAATTTTCTCCCTTTGAGTAATTGTATTTCGCCGGTGCTATAGATCAAAACAGCTGACAAATCTGGCGGATTAATTGAAAAAAATCTCTCTTTCATACGTAAAACAATCTGTGGACTCCAGCTATAGAGGAAGGGAGCGTTGCTCTCGTAAAGCCATAATTTATTCGAATCGAGTCTAGGCAAGGCGCGCTGTCGCAACAGCCTAACACTCCAACACTCTCACATTCTCACTCTCACATAATCCGCAAGTCAATACATTTTCTTTCCTTCTCCCCTGTACATTTTCCAAGAGGCTGACACATAATACAACCCGATCCTACTCTCTCAATAAGTTCATTCCTTGCTTTCTTCAATTTTCTCAATTACACCTCAAATTATTCACCACTAGTTTTTTTATCGCTTCCCCTATAAACGCATTATTTATAATATTCCTCCACTTTGTGCACATTACTTTAGAAATAACTTTTCATCAGTTGAAAAATAGCATTACTATTAATAATAGTATAATTAGTAATTATTGGGGGGAGTGGGAATAAACATTTTTTTGTTTCAATTTTTAATTTTTTTGGGTACATGTACATGAGAAAAAATGGATTACCTTGCGCTTATGTTGATCACTTTCGCCATTAATGGTGACAGATAGCTTTCCAAGTAATGGCAAAGGCTTCACTGATTCTAAGGCGACTTTCATTCTCGTGGCACTCATCTGTGGGTGAGTTAACTAACGCATACATATTAAATCTCATCTGCCGATCCAACCCACACATTCCTCCCCAAAGTGACTCACTCACTTCCGTCAGTTACAATATTATATTACGTGATCACTCCATTCAGCGAATTCACAAAAAAATCATATCGATCGATATTTTATTATTCACCAGAATAAAGTGGGTCAGATTTTTTAATTCACTCAATTATTTTATCTTCACATTCTTATTTATCGATGTACACTCGGGACATGTAGATTCGTCATGGGAAAAGAGTCATGGTCAACTTGTTACTAGGATGGCTACTTAGTAAACTAGTCGTGTCGATTCATCGAAACGTTATCCATGCTACCGATCGCTTCGATCGGTTACGTTCAAGCTGTTGAATTATTTTCACATTTGTCAATTAACGTTTATGCAGTCTGAATTAAATTCGCGACTCAAGTTTTCCGGTAGTATTTTTTTATTAGACCGATAGTTTTTCATTTCCATAGTTTTCTCTCATATTTACAACTCATGAATCTGCATTTTTCGGTGGATAGATTATTTTCAGCGAGATATATCACGCACATAAATATTTCGACTGGATTTTCTAACGGAAAACATGCAACTGACATCAGTAGGATAATTGGTGAGCAGTTCTCGGTGAATAGAGCCTAATATGCCACGGTAAACCGTTGTCCTTCACAACTCCCATAAACTCTCAACTCCGAGAAATCCAATAAATCGTAACCGATTGTACAGCTATCGGTAAGTCACACGATATTCATTTAACAAATGGAAATCTAGAGTTGATGTTTCTACTCCTGGTGGCTATAATTTTCATTGAGAATAAAAAGTGAGACAGTAAACAAAGTTGTGTACAACCAGCGAATGATGATTAACAACTCTTGCCTATCTCGAATCGGATGAGCTCAATCGATTAATTCACGATACGGTTATATACCTGGGGATGTATGAGAGCCTCCCGTAGTCTATTGTACGTTGTTAATTATGTCGATGGCTCTAATCGACGCTGAGGAATCGACCGGAACGTTATTTTGATCTAGACCTCCTAGGTTTATTCTGAAAAAGCCTCTTTCCACTGCGAGTCAAATATATATTTCGAAATGTTACCGTCATCGTGATATATTTCTACCACGTGTTGCCGTGTCATTATCGATACCGATTTGGGGCTAACGTTACACCGGCACTCACTGATTCATCGATTATTATCGGAATGATAAGGTGACATCGATGTATCGAGAAGTTTTTTCCGTGACTTCGGGATCGACTGATTGAATTGGATGAGGCAACGGCATTCTTCAAATAAATGATACATTCCAAATTACGCGTTATCAGCACAAAATGTAACGTAATATTGAGAGTGTATTAATCATTTAATTAAATTTAATTACCATTAGTCATTAGGGATATGCGGTACAGTCGCCTGGTGTCAATTACCGATAAATTAGAATGCAAGTGTTCCCCTGGGATTTTCTCAGGTCGTCGTGTAGAAATTTTGTCAGGTATTTCACAAGGTCTTTATAAGGCTGCTAGGAATGTATAGCCCTCATGGGTACCTGCTGAGCTCCAGATGAGGGCTGAAACGCAATGGCGGGCTGAGGTCCTTATCTGACCTACATTATCAGGTCTTCGAATGGTTTACTTGGCCTTTACGATAACTAGATAAGGGTCTAATCAGTTTCCTCTAATCGATTCCCTCACCAGGACCTTGAACACGAGGCGCAAGGTCAACCTTATCAGGTAAGCCTGATATCCACCATTTATCAGGTACGCAGGTTTTTTTCTGCATAGTAGACGGGAATTTTTTATAGCGTTCCACATTTTTGTGACGTCAAAGGAGTAGTTGGATAGGATTTGGATCAGGTAGGAAGGGAAACAGGATAATTCTCAATATAATTTTTACAGGAAAAATTACTGAAAAAATGGATAGTCCAGACCGGGATTTGAACCCGGGACCTTCCGATTATGGATCGGGTGCTCTCCCAACTCAGCTATCCGGCTCCTAACATTTTCTTCATTTCACTGCAGGGCCTTGACAGATTTCCAGCCGGGACATTACCTCCTGAAATTTCTTTCCAGACGAGCGCTGCTGAGTCACGAGTAAAAAAGATGCATAAATAAATATTAATGTCCATCCGAAGTTTTTCCTGACTTGTTAAAAAACAGTGGATAAATCAAGAGAGGCAGATGTGATAGTATGGGGTTAGTTAATCGTGCGTAGACTCCTGCAGGTGCCGTAATATCTAATGAGGCCATTAGCACGCTGTGCACCGCCGGAGATTTCAACGAGCGTTTATGACAACTGATGGCCTCCTGTGCTTCTGTTGTCCCTCCTCATGTACCTACCACTGTATTTACAGGAGTGAGACATTACGAAATAATATTATAATTTCGCAAATCATGAGTAACGTCCCGAGTAGTTTACTCCTGCTGCGGTGATTGTACACATCGATTATCACTCATTACCATTAAATTCTATTCCTGGAATAATTTATGGAGAGGAGTTGGTGTATTGAGAGAGACTACCGCGCAAATCATACCGTCATGCCTTCAGTATTGCCAATATTTTTCAATATTTTATGTTGAACGTCAAGTGGTCGATTCAGTTATTCGAAATATTGTTAATTTCGTTGAGGAGTTGGGAGAGATATTTTGGATTCCGGATCTCTGAATGAACAATAAAAGGAATCCGGGCTGTGATGCATAGGTATAAATTTAACGCTCGTTGCTTCTACATTTATTTCAATCTGATGATGACTCGAAAGTCTGGTGAAATTTCAGTGGTTTTAATCTAGTTCAAAGCGAAAGTTGTAATATTTATAGTATTAGTGGGAGAATTGTTTCCAATTTAATTGTATTCCCTGATCGACTACATAAATTATTATTCTTCTTTCAGATTCGTGTGATGCTGCAGCTGAGAGATCGTATGGTGAGTTTTTTTCATTGAATATTGAACAATTCTGACAATGCCTGAATATTCAACGCTGCGAAACCCCTCGAATTTTGCCAGAATTGGCGGAGGACGAAAGAATAAAAATAAAATATCAAAACCAGAAGAAGAAAAGAAAGGGGAATACACCTCCCATGTCCTTTGTTTCTCATGCCGCCAGAGATTGCTTCTCTCACAATCAACTCGTTTTATGGAGTTATCCCGAAGGTATATTGTCACCTTGACTGATAAAAGAAAGCTAAAAGAAAAGTCGCGAAAAGGTCGAAAGAAGGGGAAGCAGTAAAACCTCTAGGAAAACAGAAAAATGATAAATGACTCAACTTTTCGTCTCCCCGTGTCAAATTTCATTTCATTTATTCGATTATCATGAATATACTTTTTTCATCCAACTGTCCCTGGGCACTAGCAATTTCACCGTAGCCCTGGCAACTCCTCAACATCCACCAAGCGATCCATCTTCATTGGGGTCGAGCAGTGTCTTGCGACCCGGGGGTTGCAAAAAGTCAAACTGCATCCGGTCTCAATCCCTCTCTCTCTCCCTCTCCTCATATCTGTTATTCTTTTTATCCTCTCTGCCTCCCCTCATCGAAAACTCCATACCACCATCGTCGTGTAAAATTCAAGCGTTATATACCATTCGTGGACTCGTGTTTTGTCCAAGCAGATTATGATTACCTTAGCCGTAGCTAATATCATGCAATAAAACCCGCTGAGACATGTTCCCAACTTGTACCATTCAACGTACCAAAAGTTGAACGATAATAGCTTTACCACCGAACACGACATTCTAAACGCCGGAAACGTCCAGGGCGGTCGCTCAAACACCAGAAGCCACCAAAAAAAAACTCATTCCCACTCATCACACAAACGGAATACTTCAAATTTTCAAGGACATGTGCCTCATTTTTACGTTTTCTTTTATTCTAAATATCGCAATATATATTTTTTCGTCTTTCATCTACCAGGTGGACACCTGATCAAGAACTTGGTCAGTTGCTGTCAGGCTTACCTGCTGAGGTTGACCTTACGTCTCGTTTTCAAGGCCCTGGTGAGGAAACCATAGAAATCCTGATGATGTTAGTCTGACTCGAAACTGATTAGACCCTTATCTGGTTATCGTGAGGGCTGAGTTAACGATTTAAGGATCTCAGTCCACCATTGCGTTTCAGTCGTGATCTGGACCTCATCAGGTACCCTATGAGTGCCTATGATTCTTCCCAAATTCCTGAAAATATTCACTTCTTGAGAAAAATCACTTTGCAGAACAGAATATTAGCGGAGTTCACTTTAACGATACATCTTTTCCCTCGCGGGAATTTAAAATGATAAAATTCTTTTTCATGACCAGACGGAATCAACAGGTCGGTGTTATACATTCCTCAGAAGCTTTTTGAATGGACCCTCGAAGGGTGCATGAATCCGGGTGGCGAATCTTCATTGAAGGGTGGTGTTGCCAATGTGTGTGTCTGCAGGGGGTGCGTTTACCACCTAAAACCCTAGAGTTCCTGACAGTCGATTAGGGCAAGATGGTAGACCGGGTCGTAACCCCCCATGGAAAACTTAAAATAACATCGTTCGATCATCCACCACATACCCGACGACAGCCAACAGTCTACTTGCGTATTCCCCGCGTTATCCAGAGGCTCTTCTCCTCCCTCATCACCCCCCAACCCCACACTCATCATTCCTCCCCCAAAAAAAAATGTCCCTAAACCTTTCTCACGTCTTTCCACACGCACAATCCCCCAAAACACTTGTTCCTCCCTCCCATCTCCAAATGTAACAATAAAAAATAAGGGTTAAATAAGATCTGCAAGTGATGCATTGACGTGTCCAAGTTGAGCACCTCTTGGATGCTCATTACAGCGTGTCCCGCCCTCGGCGGCTGGTAATCAGGGTGTGGGGCCAAAGTGGGGAGGACCAAAGTGGGGCCCAAGTGAGGGACCAAGTGGGGGCGGTGGGTGACCTCGCCCGGGGCCCGTACTCTTTCTCCAACGTCCTTCCCAACATCTCCTTCTATATCTTTCTCTCATCTGACTACCTGCCAAGTGCCCCCAGAGTATCGACTCTCTTTTTGCCGTGTGCGGTCCTCTCCCTTCACCAATTCACGGGTACTTTGCATTCACGACGTATCGATTCATCCCAACAAATTAGACCAACTCCACGACCAATATCCACACCCTTCACACCTCAACCCCAAAATTCCAATTGACCTTGCTCTTCAATCCTCAAAGTTCACATTTGTTTTTTATTTCATAATAACAACATTATCTCATTTTTTAGTCGGGAAAATGAGATACCTGGGGGCGATTTACCAAAAACCATTAGAGCCATGCAATTTTTCGGGGTGAGAAGATAAACCACAGTGTGCATGTATCCGTTGTACTTTTTGGGGGATAATAATAATGAGGATGGGTACGAGGTATCTCGTCGAGCAGGAAATGGCGCGGTGGCAGATGGCGACGAGGTTAAAAGCGATATAATAAGGAGGGAAGAGGCTCTCAACAGTGATAGAGCGTCAACGAAGGTAAGAGTCTTCTGGTAGTTGTCTCGCACGCGTGTTCCATCCACTAACGGTTGGTCTACCTTTTTTCCTTCGCCAACCACTTGTTCTCTATGCACAAGAGCATTCACCTGAAGAAATAGCCCTGTCAACTTTATGCAAATCGATGAAATACTATTCCGAGGAGGAATCAATTTTTTGCCATTCAATTAGGCGGATTGATTAATGCTGTTTATGTGAATCGTGTAAATGGCAGGAGTTCCCGGAAGAGGATAACGATGCTGAGTGAAGAAATGATGGGAGGATCGATGGATCTGATTGCGAGCATTTAGAATCGTTGGGTATTATTGATATATCATTGAATTATTGTAGGATTTGATGTCGCAATGGAGAGAGAACGAGTACACGAGGAAACGAGGGGCAGAGGCTCTTGATCACCTGAAGGATATTGTGTACACGAACGCACAGCATTTTGATATATTTTTCACGAGTGCAGCGGTACTCACCACTTGGCCGTTACGATTCCTTCATCTTTTTATATCGCAGTGCTACTTGTTCTTCTCCTTGAGGACTTCCCAGAACTATCCGAGTAGACTGGCATCTCAAACACGTCTGACGGTTGACTCGATAAAAACATCAACGGTTGCATTAGCTTGGTGCAAAGTAATGGAGAATTTCATGAAATTTTTATTCACCGTCTCATGAGGGAGGATAATTACAGCATTCGAATTAGGAATTCGATGATCGGTGCGATAACGACTGATATGGATAATGAGTTGCGTCATGGTATGCAGGAGATGGTGACGGTCATCACAAAAAGTTGGTTTGATGTTGGTTTCGCGTGATTAGTCATAGGTGGTACTCACTGAGAGATAGTCATACATCAGCTCCTCATTACAGTCGAGCAATTCACTCTCATAGTCAAGACATGATTGAATATCAGGTTGATCCGCACAACCAACAAGAATGATGGACAATCGATTAATTTCCATGTCTGAATATCTCTTGGTATTCTTCACAGCGGTAACGAGAGGAATCAAAACGATTTATCAATCCCAAAAGGTATTTCATCTGAGTGACATGTCAGTGGTATTTTGACAAAACAAAGCATTCTCAATTCTCTTCATCATCTAGAGTCTAGATCCCTCCAACACCTGTAAAACACGTACAAAGATATAGTCAACTAAAAGTTGACAATTCTATCGCGTTATCGCCACCATCAAGTTGTCGTTAATGTGGAAATTTCGTAGCTATGGACGACTTACCTGAGGTAAAACACGGATGTGCTGTACGAGGGTTTCGCTGGAAGGTAATGGTGCCATTCAGTCCGAGCCATTAAGGCACCCTCGCAGCAGTACCCTAAAAAAAGGTATAAGAGGTTAGCTCTTATTTACGCTTGGGTTTTTTTTTCCTTCAACTCCGAGGGTCTAGGCAAATTTCGAGGGGATCACCTGGACTGGTGGAGGTGGATCCGACGAAAGAGTCAAATCCGGTGGCCCTGCGATGATCGGCGATGAGTCGATCAAACGAACGTACAGGGAATATTCATGGATTATGATTTGCGGCATTGACTCAAGAAGGTTGGCGATCGTCAGTGATGCGGGTACAACGTCCTCGTAGCTTGTAAGAGGCAGTGGGCATTCGTCCTCCTCAGGGGAATGATCCTCCGAGTCCGCATACATTGTGACACAAACGGCGCGTCTTCTCTGATCCGACCATTCCCTCAAGGAATACTGAATCTGGAATCATGAATGAACTATGCGGTGAATACGTGGTGGAAGAGTCCAAAAGGCGGCCTATTATTTAGCATAGCCACTTTTTCAGCTCCCGCACACACATCGGAGAAGAGCGTTCGATTGTCGGCAACCTGTATCACAGCCTTTGTGATTCCGAAACCCAATGGGATGATGACGATGCAAACCGATGGGATACAGGCATCTTATTCATATACATGTACGTCTTTATGTATATATGTACAACTGGAGCACATAATTCGAGGTATGTGATCCTAATGGACACAAATCGAGTCCTTATTTCTCCAAATATTTTTCTTTGTTATTGCAATAACATAACGCACAAAATGGGCAGTGAAGAATGTCGATAGCAGAATTGAGAATAATTTCACATTTCACAACAAGTAAATCCAAGAAATTCATCATCTCTATGATGATTTCCACCTGAAATTCGTTACCAAGAAGAGCCATTGATTCCAAAGTGGAGCAAATCATTCCACCATTAAATAGATCTCATTTATCCGAGTTGTTCCATCGAAATCAGAGGAAATATTGTAATAAAGCGAACAAACCTCTGAAGCGTCTTGTGGTTGAGAGAAACGCGATAGGCCGTTTAGTGCGGCCATTGATCCGGAAAATGACTATTAATGACTCTCGGTAAGATCTGCATCTTTCATCATGAAGAAATGAAGGGCCTCCCGGATCGATGAAGTATAAGAGGGCATAGCGTGAGAGTAAGCCCT